CTTTTACGGCAGCCAGCTGTTAGCTCTCCGGAACGATGTCCATCCGTTACTGGGGACTCAGCGGGCGTGCCACTGTTTGCCACTATCTTTTTTTCTTGTCTTTTGTATTGCGGCACAATAGCTGAGGTGTTTTCCACCTCCAGCTAACGTGTAATGACGATGATGTATATCAATGATCTTCCGGCAACACTCCAAACCGAATGCTTGCTCTACGCCGATGACCTCAGGCTATGGTCTGAATTGCCTGACCTTGACGCCGCTGATCGACTACAGGCGACTTTTGATCTGTTGCATAACTTGTCTATCAAGTGGGGCCTACTATTAAACTACAAAAAATGCTGCGCCCTACCGTGCGGAGCTTCTGAGCGACTTGGAACTTAACACAGTGGTGGGTTCCTTTTCAAACACGCCACTCAAGAGAAAGATCGAGGAGTAATAATAGCTCCTGATCTGGAAATCACACAGGACACACTGAAAATGGTTGCCGCTGCAAACAGGATGTGTTATGTCATAAGAACATCATTCTGTCGAGTGACACCGAAGATCTTCAGGCTCCTGTTCACTTCCCAAGTACGACCGATTCTGGAGTATGGGCTGCCAGCTACATTTCCACTCTCTCCAATGTTGGATGTGCCTTAATCGAAATGGTTCAGAGGCGTGGCTCTAAGTCCGTTTCCGGGCTTCGTAATCTTCCCTACTCCCTTTGGCTTCATGAGGTAAATCTGTTCTCCATGGAATACCGTCGTTGTCGTTTAGACCTTGTCTTTACGTGGCACATATTAAGAGCTACGGCAGCTTTTTCAGCTCAACATAGCTGGCTCTACATGAGGTCACAGCTGGAAACTATTCAAACTGAGGAGGCTCAAAGTCGACACCGCTGTCGTCTCCATTCGGATAGTCGAATCATCTTCCGACGACTGTTGTTGACGCGACGACCGAGGAAAGTTTCAAACAACTCTTAGATACGCACCTACGCGACAATAAGGCCGCACTGCCCTACTGCGACTGCTCCGGTTACTTTAGGACTACTACGTCGCACTGACGTGCTTGGTCTTGGTGCTGAACTGTAGGTGATGGGGCTAAAATGTGTCCTCTCTTCTGCCCTGTAGAACTCAATGAATGAACTTGGTCTGACCCGCGTTGTCACCGACACACGCTTGCGACCTAAAGTTCTCTCGTTCTCACTTTCGATTCCGGCCCACTTGGTTCTGCTATTCGTTGTGCGACAACCGTTTGCATCTTGTATTCCTTTATTTCAACATATCAGATATACTTCGGTTCTTACTAGGTCCATTGCAGGTTACCTAAATGGTGACAGGTGTTTGATTTCCACGACGCGGAGAATTTCGACCCATGGGCCCCTCAAGTCCTCTGCATTGGCGGAGATTTATCCACTTGGAAGCGTAAAGTGGATGTTGCTCTTGATTCACTCCCTCCCACCAGGAGACTGGTACTTTATTTCACACGTGCAAGCTCACATTCAGAGGATGATCAGGTCTTCTGGAATATCCTCATCCTCATCGATTTCTTCTGTGTGATTGCCTTTATGAGATCTTTCCCCACGCGAGGCAGGATTCCGAGGCCACCACACGTTTTAAACAACCAGACGCCGCGCCCATTGTTCATCCTGCGCACTCTCCACCGCAACCTGCGCCGTCGCAGCATGGCTCGGCCTGTGCGAATTCCACTTACGTCTCGGGCTCCTCTGTCCCTCAGCAGAAGCCGCAGCTTATGGGCCCGTTAAAACCATGAACGCTCGTGCCTTCAAATCTACACATGCTATCTATACACGGGATTTAGACTGTTGTGGCATTGCAGTCCACTGTAGTTTCGCCCCTGTGCGTCATCACACAGGAAGAAGTTATCATTTGGGACAGTATGGTTCACTCTTCACCCTTTTTTTTATTGCTGTGTCCCACGCCGTAGAGAACCTTGCTTTACAGATACTCGCCGCGTCCTCTGAAGACACAGCACGTGCCGTTCTAACTGTGACCCCCTTACAGACCTATTCAGCTTTCCACACTGGACATGGTTCTATAACTTGTTATAAATCCGAACCATGGGTCCCACTAACCGGTTTGTGTGTTCGGGCTCCGGAGCTAGATGGACCGGAGAACCGCTCCAAACACTAATTGGAGGGTCAAGTTTGGACTACACATTGTGTGATTGGATTGCGACGCGCAATCTCAATGTACTGGACCGTGATTACATCGAAACGCGTCGTGGTTGTGCAGTGTTTTCGGGCGGGCAACACCCAGTTTTCATCCGCTCCAAACACTGTTTTCTCCCACAGCTCCAGCCTTTCACGAGATAAAGGAACATTTCTGGCGCATTTTCTATTTATGGTAGGTACTCATCCTACTTTCTTTGCCACTTCCTGTGGTTCACGGACGTCATGTTTTCTGCCTGATTTCTCTATCTACCTTTATAGACCGGACCTCGGTGTGCGACCAATTTTTACCCGGCTTCGCCCATCCGGCCCCTACTTTGTGACCAACAGCTACTGTGAGGCCCCATTTACCACAAAGGGGAGTCGGCTCCAGACTGGTGGTCAAACCCACTTGCTCTATTTCCTTTACAACATGGCCAAGGACCGCGAAATGCTCGAGTTCGGGTTCGGTTGGGCGTCGTGGACGACGGCTGTTCGTTGGGGGAGATATTGTAGCGTAATCTCCCAATCATCCATCAATCCTTATAACATTGTATATGATTTGATCTCATAGAACATCACTGGTGACTGATTTAACCCATTATTAACTATCTTTCACTGTTGTATTTTCCTTGTTTATATGCTTGTATACTTGGCCTGACCCGCGTTGTCACTGATGCACACTTGTGACGTGCAGTTCTCTCGTTCTCACTGAGTTCGATTCCGACCTACGGGGTTTTGCTATTCGTTATGGGACAACTGTTGGAATCCATTCCAGCATATCGGTTCCTCCTACGGCCATTGCACGTTATACTAGTATTTCTCCGGTCGTGGGTTCCGAGGGTTTCTGGTTCCGAGACGTACGTGGGTCGTACTAGATCGAGGGGGGCTGATAAGCAAAAGAGGTGTTTCGTAGGCGGCTGTACAACCACCTAGTAAGTGTCGGAGCTGGATGGATGATGTACTTGTATCTCATGGGCGGTACTGTCCCAGCTGCGAATACAGGACCGAGCGCGAGGCGACTAGATGAATGACGTAAAAGCGTACGACGGTTCGCTAATTCAACAACACCGAATCTGAAATGGCATGGTAAAGAGAAGAGGAAATAAAGCTCGTAATGTAGACTACACGACGACACCTTACCTGTTGACTTGCTAGTGACACGCCGGTGCGCTACCTTATCCCTTCTCTTATGAAGCGCTGCCCACAGCGCTTACTAAGCCCTTACTCTTGTCAACCTGCTGACGCACAGACTGATGAACGTTGTGATAGGTTCGGATGATTCCGCGTTAGAGATTGCTAGTGATCGCTGCAACGGCTGCAGTCCTGCTTCAGGGACGCGTTATGAGCTGACAGGGTCGTAAAATATGGAGTATGCGTCCCGTCGTGTTTTCCGAGGCCTTCTGGTTCCGGTGTGTACGTCGGTCGTAGTAGACCGAGGAGGCTGTAATGCAAAAGTGCTAATTCGTAGGCGGTTGTACAACCACCTAGTAAGTGTCGGGGCTGGATGCATGGTGTGCTTGTGTCCTATCTCGTGGCTAGTCGGGCGTTACTGTCACAGCTGCCGATAGAGGACCGCGCGCTACGCGACTAGATAATTGGTATGAAAGCGTACGACGGTTCGCTAATCTAACAACGCCGAAAACCAAATGGGAAGGTAAAGAGAAGAGGAAATGACGCTCACCGTGTTGGCTACGCTTGACGACAACTTACCTGTTGACTTGATAGTGAAACGTCGACCAGCTACAATTATAAAGTTACAAAATTCGCAAGTTACAACGTGCATCTCCGATATATAAAACAGCCGCAGGTCTCTGGTCGCGCTGTACCAGCCTCTCGTGATCGTCAACATTGTGGGAACACTGCGTGAGTAACGAGCGTGTTCGACGTCTTGCTTATGACACAGGAAAAGGAACTGAACCGCTCAGCACCGTCGTTTTACGCACCAGGCTCCGATGGCTCGGCCACGTGTTGCGCATGCCAGCCCACCGACTTTCGCGACGTGCGTTGTTTGCTCACCGCGGGTGTGGATGGAAGAAGTGGAGGTGGGGCCAAACGATGACTTGGTCGAGAAGTGTGAAGGCTCTCACTTTGTTGCTGGCCTCGCTTAGAGCTTCACGGCTCCGTGCTTGGGTACCAAAAGACGGTAAACACGTTTGGCTGGATACACTTGCTGACTTGGCAAGGAGCCGACCTCAGTGGCGTTCCTGCTTTGAGTTTTTTGTCCTTTCCCATCCCTTTTAGCCTTCCCCTCCAACCACGATCTCATTCCGTAGCATAGTATAATTTTACATCGTAATTTTTCTTGTTGCCTAGTGGTCGGCTGCTATCTTTCCGGAGCGATGCCCATCCGTTGCTGGTAGCGCAGCTGGCATACAACCGTTTTTCCTTTTCCTTTCCTTTTCCTTTTTATTTTATGCATTGCGGCACAGTAGCTGAGGTGCTTTTCACCTATAGCTAACGTGTATACTGATGAATGATACCCGAAAGGCACCGAGCCGGGCGTATATATATATATATATATATATATATATATATATATATATATCAAATTTGCTTAACTTAACTTTTGCACCACATAAACTTTTGAGCTGCTTTAGGTATTCAGGAAGTGTTAAAATTCAAAACGAACAGTCGACTGTATAATGTCACCCATGTGGATGACATATAAGCACACTTTCTCCTAATGACGCTTTTTTCTCCTAATTTGCTTTCATCAATTCTATGCTTTTTATCTGGTGCGATGTACTGTGATCGCACAGGCTGCTCTCTCTGTCGCTGCCACTATACTGCACGCTACCGAACTGCGCTACAATTTTACTTGATCGCACATGCTTTTTCTTGTTTTTCAGCCCACTAGAGCTAGTCGAACCCTCAGTCGGACTCTTGGTATTGAAATCCAGCCACCTTTTTGTCACTGCTTGTATGGATTGCAGGCATCGTTTGTAACTCTTTATTCTGGTATCTCTTCGGACATTTGTTGATTTGTGCTGTAGTGCCCCAGTGTTTTAAAACTTTTGTCGTGTTTACTGCAAAATGCGCACGGTCCACTTTGTCCTCTCAGAAGGGATGAACTCGGAGGGACAATTATTTAGAGTTAAAAAAGGTATAGACTAAAATAAAGTCATCGACATTTAGATTTTTGTGTTCATTTTGTCCTGGATGCTACACTTGTCGGCAAACGCGTTCGATTTTTCACCAACTACCCTACGTCAAGCGATCCTACATTCAGTCGTGAAAAGTACAGAGAATTGGCTTGGACCAATCCTACCTTATCCAATCAAGAGGTGGACTGTTTTGATAACCACTTCGAACTATTTCCTCTTTGTGTATCCGGTTCTTTTCACTTTTACTTCACAACCGATGTGGATCCGATTGCTCCAACTTCTGGGAGCGGAACACCATCTCAAGTAACAGGCAGCGGATATCTCACCGTCGATCCTCACTTCGGTACAGATTCCGTAGGCGTCTCTGCGGAGTCTTTGGCGAAATCAGGTTGGGATCTGGACGGTGTCGTTTTACAGACGTACCTTTCGAAGAATCTTGGTTACTTTGATGAATGGGATTCAAGATTAATGGCTGCTAAAGAAGGAAATTATAATATGATTCACTTCACTCCGTTCCAAGTGAGTTGCGCTTGTTTCTCATCTTATTTCGATGGAAATGGGTAAAAACTTCTCGCTTTGTCTTTATCGTGAAGAGCGAATTGTTGTGCGTCTTTATCTTCTGAGGGTGGACCAAGGTCTGACAACATTCGTTTGGTCTGTACTCCTCATTATTGCGCAGTTTTTTCTATTGTGTCTCCATCGGAATGAACTCACCCATACGCCCCCTTGTAGTGCCTCGCAACTGAACTTAGGCTAATTCCTATTCACTATCAGTTGTTTCGAATTTCGCATGTTAGTCTCTGGTAATTTTTCTGGTTTCACCCTACATGAATAGGCATAGCGCACATAGTGTATACAATCGGAAATCGATTAGTACTCGCAAAAGGAATCAGCAGTACACTGGTGCGCCGCATCGCCGTTTCGCTGCCACGTAACCACTACCAATCGCATTCGGTCTGGGAACATTGTGAGGTCATTTGCGCCTACGCGACAACCTTTTAATCACAAGGCAGTCGCCTGAACCACCCAGATACCGGCCGACTGAAACCTACCAGATGTCGTGCCCACCTTCAGTAGGAGTGCCGGAAAATAGCAAACCAGCTATGAAAGAATTAGTCTCACGTGTGTCGCTCGCCTTCGAATGTGACCGAAAATCACACTCCAAAAATATGTTGTCAAGGTACATCTTTCATTCATATGGTGTCACATAGAGCATTCGGGCGTCTTGAGCATTTCTTCCTTTTGATTGGCCAATGACTAGTTCTAGCAACAGCTTACGCGTCCTCCAACTTGCGTGTTGAAACAGCTTGATACGACCGTATTTTGCGGCCTTTGTTCTGTTCTTGCTTCTTCGTGGTGAGACTTGAGTCGGTGGTTTTAGGTGAAATCTTAACTTGTTTTTCATCTTCAGTTTGGCCGTTTTTCCGATATGCTTGCTTATACCTAACCAGTGTGTCAACGAAGCATTAGTCCAAAATACCGGTGCACTGTTTTTACTACTACCATTATTATTTTTTGTTGTTGTCGTCGTCGTCGTGGTTGTTGATGATGATGATGCTACGGCTACTTGCCATTAAATATGAACTGTTTTTTACTTACCGGACGATGAATGGCTGCAATTCTGAAGTTGAACCCGTCTTTGTTGCAGATGGCAATGCGGTAACCAATCACCAGTTGAAGTACCTTACATTTTACGGTTCTTCGTTACACCTTATACTTAACTGTAGACGTGGCATTGCACAGCTTACAACCAAACGGTTGGCACCTTTTGGCCCCCTTCGATTACACTGTATTAACGCCGTGAGGATATAAGTAGTCATAAATTGACATTTCCATTGCTCTTGTCAATCGCTACATGGGATATACATGAATTGTGGACGTGTGTGAATCATGGTAACCCAAATAAGCTGCAGTGCGAATTGGTGAATGTTGCGCCATCGAGACCAGCCTAATCTTATCGATTACATAAGTTGTATCTGTGCTCCCAACATCGGACGATTCATCCTTATCACCAAGGCTTTACTGAAGTTCTGCACTTTTCGATTTCGTTTAAGTAATAAAACTGAACGAAATCGTCTGGTCGACATGGTGATTGATCGTCATAGGATGCTTGGTAATGCACAAGACGAGTTCTTGTACATCGCATAGTCCACTCCATCTTGCCACAAAGACCGCTTTAACCACTTTGGAAGTGTTCAGTCATCCTTTGAGTCAGTCTACGGTCGGTTCTGCCTTTGTAGGTCTCATCGCAACTGCAAGTGAACCGGTAGATAACTTGAGAGGCCGAACTATCTGACCAATTACCTTGACGGTTCTGGGAAACAGTTCTTCATGTGGCGTAGATAACTCGTAACTGTGTGGTGATAGAGTAGACTTGATCTTATGGACAGTGTCGTTCGCAATGTCACACTCTGAACGAGAAGAGCACGAAAACATCCCATGTCGTGACTTTTATCATTGATTGCTTCTCCTTTGTGCATCTACTGTGGACTTGGATGAATTTCTTCGGGTACCCATTGGGCAACACCTTGGTAGGTTCCAGATGCAAATTCTCATGGCGCTTTTAGACACCATCTTCACGAGGTAACGTTCTACATAACTGGGGCAAGAGTGGAAAAATCAAGGTTTTTCTACTCACAAGCCGCTTTGCTGTAGATGGTGCGCTGCGGAGTGCTGTCAACTCGTCTTCTCAAAAGCTTGTAGCAGCTTTCTTTTCAGTCACAGCAAGAAAAATATCTGCCTATACTGGACCCATCACAGCAGTGTAACGTCCCTCGGGTACTCCGGTGCAAGGCCTGCAGATAGGTTTTGGCTCAAAGTAAGGTGACATAAACCGCGGACCCTTTCTTGTAGACGTGCATTAGTGGGAGATTCCATATTTTCATAAGCCCCGCATCCAGCGTTGATTGTTCCAACGCCCTCATTATCATCATTATACTCGTTAGCTGCAGGTGGAAAACACCTCAGCTATTGTGCCGCAATACAAAAGCAAGAAGAAAAAACAACAATGGCACGCCGGCTGAGTCTTCAGCAATAGATGTACGTCGTTCTGGAAAGCTAACAGCCAGCTATCGTGTCGCAAAAAGAGAGTTATATTACGCCTAATGAATGAGATCGTGATTGGAGGGGGATGAACAAAGGAACACACAACACAAACGCTTTTGGGGCCGGCTCCTGGCCATACCAACAAGTGTGTTCAACCAACCGTGTTCATCGTCCTTAGGACCCCAGTCAGGCAGTTGGGATGCACCATCCGACGCTAACTTCGAAGTAAGGGTTTTCATTTCACTCGACCAAATCATCGGTTGCTCCCCTCTCTTCCTCTTCCAACCGCACCTCAGGCGCGCAAACGATGTACGTCACGGGAGTCGGTGTGCTGACATGCGCAACACGTGGCCCAACCATCAGAGCCTGGTGCGTGATCTAATAGTGCTGAGCGGTTCACTCGCTCTTCCTGCACCAAATACGCGACGCCGAACACGCTCATTGCTCACGCGGTGCTCCCACCAGATATGAGCTAAACTGCGAAGGCAGCGATAATCGAACGTGACGAGCATCTTTATGTCTGTCGACCTGATGGGCTAGTTTTCACAACCACATAGGAGAGTTGAACGTACGACTAAATTATACACTCTACCCTTCAGTGAGTGTGTGATGTCGCGCCTGCGCCACAGATAGCGGAGATTGGCGAAAGCACCTCGATCTTTTGCTATACGGTTCGTAACCTCATCTTCAATCCCACGGGTGCTAATATAGCTGCCCAGGTACTTGAATTCCTGAACGACTTCCAGCAGATCACCACCAAGCGTTAGCGCAGGACTAGGTCCCTGCCAATCTTGGAGAATTACTTTGCATTTCGATGGAGCAAAGCATAGCCCAAAACAATTGACAGCCAATGCTAATCGGTCCACTGCTACTTGGCACGTTTGGGAGGTGTCACAAATTAGGGCAGTGTCGTCCGCGTACTCTAAGTCAAGAAGTCGCTCACCTGGAAGTAGCTCCACACCTTCTAGGTCGTGTACAACGAACGTTGTTTCCATGACTTCGTCAACTGCAAAGTTAACTAGGAAAGGTGACAGCAGGCAACCTTGTCTCACACCGCTGGAGATATTGAAGTGCAGCGACAGTTTGCCATAAACTTTCATTCTGCCCAACTATGCGCGTGCAGCGCTTTGATAATGTTTAGATATTTGTCGGGCACACCTATTTTCAGCAGTCAGTCCCAAAAGCCACATCGATCAACCGAGTCGAAGGCACCTTTTATGTCAAGAAACACAACAATGGTGAGTCGCCAATAAACGTGGTGGTGCCTCAACAATTGATGCAAAGTGAAGATCTGGTCGATGTAGCCTCGATTTCGACGAAACCCTGCCTACTATTCGCGAATCTGGCCTTCACGAGCACCAATCAGTCTGTGAAAAACGAGAGTCAAGTAATTTGAAGGCAATTGAGATCAGAATGATCCCTCTATGGTTGACGCATTCCGAACAGGAGCCTTCCTTGAAAATTGGGACAATAACAGAGCCGCTGCAGTCTGTTGGGACAGTTTCCTACTCCCAAAGTTTAACTAGCAACTCGTGTAAATCATCCACAAGAGCAGGTCCACCGAATTTGTAGAGAGCTGGGGGAATGCTATTTGCACCAGAGATCTTATGCGATTTCAACATTCTAATCTCATGTTCGACTTCTGCACGTGAATTCGGATCTAAGGAGACGGCCCATGGAGAAGTGCCCTCAATGCCCGAAAAAGAAAACGATAACTCAGCTTGGTTAAACTGCCTTGCAAAGCGTTCGGCCCAATGCTCCAATCGTTTTGACAAGCTGTGGATCGGCTGTCCACTCTCATCGCGTATGGTCCCGCTAACAGGTCTCCTGCCGCCTATTTCCCATATCAGACGCAATAATTTACAATGATTACTAACGTCAGCGGCTATTTCCATCTCCGAGGCACAGTGAAACCACCCGGCCTTGCGGTTTCTTTTCAGGCTAGCACGCTGTTTTGCCCTGAGATTTTTGCGGATCTCATTGTATTCGCTTCCAGCCGAAATACGTCGGCGCGATTCCATAATTTCCACAGACTTTGTAGAGACCCAATGTCTAGGTTAGCAGTTTGATTTGCCACATGAAGACATGCCTTCTGATAGTAACCTTTGACGAATATGCGACCAGTGATCTTCGACTGTGTTCTGTGGGCGCTTACTCAGCCCAGATGTCAGCGCACTTTGTGCCGCCTGTGTCGCATGTGGGGGATTGCAGAGTAAGCAGGGAGCTCCAATCTTGCAGGCAGGTTTCCGTTAAACAGCAAATATCAATCGAGAGGGTCTCGAGTGTTCGGGCGAGTGCTGCCTGTTGGCCAGTCTAGCAAAGTGCGCACCTTGATGCATGCCATTCTTAGCGAGGATCGAAGACTCCAAAGGGAAACGGATGAACTGACGTTGTCCGCTTGGTTGAACATGGACTTGTCGACTGCATTGGAGCGACGCACTGCGATCGTGTGTGAGTTGAAACTAGAGGACAAG